ATCTGTCTGTCTGTTTCTATCTATCTATCTATCTATCTATCTATCTATCTATCTATCTATCTATCTATCTATCTAATATTTAAACCATAAGCTTCTAAAAAGTAAAAATGTCAATGTGATACAACTCTCTTAATCATATACAGTATACTGTATAGTATTTATGAACTATTGATTCATATTAAAATTATTATATTCATATTACTTAAATACTTTTTACCTTACATAAATGTAAGAAAATATTTAAGGATGGTAAGGAATTAATACTATTTTACTTGATAGAATCTCTAGTTGACATTTTAAGAATCATTAAGTTTAAACTATTGTTAAAAGCGGTGTAAAAGTTTTCAAAACCAACATGAACTTAGCAGATGTTTTTGAAATTTTCAAAATATATATATTTTTAATTTCCACATGCACCAGATTTCTTTCAGTCTGTCTGTCATGTAATTGTTCACTGCATGATGTTTGCGTGTGCTTATGCATGCATTCTTTTCTCTTGGCATGTAGGTTGTGTGTCAGGCCTGTTCAACTAACAAGCAGCCGCTAAAATATCTGAAGAATCACCTCGCGCGAGTTTGTGATCTCTGCTTCTCCACTTTGCAGCCAAATAGTTCAGGTTCATGACACAAACACACTCGCACAGAAACTGTCTGCTTGAAGCCTCTACCTATATATTGATTTGTAATAAGAGTGTGTGTTTATGTGTGTGTTATTACTAATATTAGGTGACCAAGTACCCAGTAATTCACCTCTGTCACCTACTGGCAAGTCGCCCGGTGCCTTTCCCTTCAGAAAGCAGAAGAAAATACCAGCAGCCCTTAAAGAGGTGATGATCCAAAGAACTGTCTTTCATATGCCAGTCAAAGCTGACCGAATCTAACCTAATATCATAAAGCCAGTTTCAGGTTTACAGACTTGCTCCAGCCATTGAAGATTGTCTTGTGCTGCCTCTTGTACAGTTAATCAAACTATCTAAAACACGTGTAATATGTGACGTATGCTACGTAAATCTATAATTATAGCATCAATGCAAACGTTGTGTCTTTTTACAAGCATTTATGGCAGGTGAAAAATGCACTCTGACCAATGTATAATTAAATTTCTGTGGTTCCTGAAGCATCTGAAAACCCTGTTTAACGAGGGGTGGTTTCTCTGAGGCGAGAAGGTAGGCAGAACAAAATTCCCCATACATTTGGATGAGGAAAAAAATAATATATGAAGAAACTCAGGCAAATCCAGAGATCAGTTCTCACTCAAAAACAATCACTGTTTTTGTGGAAGACATTGACACTTTCATTCAACGTGGAATTAAATTGAATATATGTGTGTGTACTGTGTATATTTATTATGTGTATATAAATACACACACATGCATGTATATATATTGAAAGTATATATTTATATTCATATAATTTATATTATATATAAATATATTTAATATATAAACATAACACATTTTTCTTAAATATATACATGTATGTGTGTGTATTTATATATACATAATAAATATAGGGTACAACGGGGCTAACTAATATTCATTTCACTTTTGGTGTGAAAGGGCCTTTACATTAGCCAAAAATAGAACTCTTTATATTAAAAGCAAACAAGCTCAGCCCAGATGAGAAAAAGTAATGCAATTAGTTCCTTTTTTTTTTTTAAGGAGTAACACAATATTATAATGCATTACTTTAAAAAAAGGGAACTTTCCCCAACACTGATTATAAATACTCTAAAGTAAATACTCTAAATCCTGAGAATGTTTCCGCAAAAATATAAAGCAGCACTGTTTTTGACATAATAATCAGAAATGTTTCTTGAGCTGGTCATGTGACACTGAAGACTGGAGTAATGATGCTGAAAATTCAGCTTTGATCAACAGAAATAAATTACAATAAAAATATATATTCAAATGGAATTCAGCTATTTTAAATTGCAATCAAATTTCACAATATTACTGCTTTTGCTGGATTTTTGGTCAAACAAATGCTGCCTTGATGAGCAAAATACACTTTTTCAGAAAGTACATGTCAGTAAATATAATCCCTTCATTTATTTTAGGTTTCAGCTAACACAGACGGGTCCTCGATGAGCGGCTACCTGGAGAGGACGAAGGCCAACAGAAAACAGTGGAAGCGGTACTGGTTCGTCATCATGAACAAAGTTCTGTACACTTACGCTGCCAGTGAGGTGAGAATATATAAACGGGGCCATTTAAATTAAGGAAAGAGTGTCCATCTTTA